ATAGATTTTTGTGTTGCTTTGTGCGAAACCCAAAATTACGAGTGGTTATGCGCAGATAGATTTTTGTGTTGCTTTGTGCGAAACTCAAAATTACGAGTGGTTATGCGCAGATAGCTTTTTGTGTTGCTTTGTGCGAAACTCAAAATTACGAGTGGTTATGCGCAGATATATTTTTATGTTGCTTTGTGCAAAACTCTGAAACAAACAAACTGTAATAAACTTCGTATAGTGGCGCTATTCGGCTTAAAAAACTTTTCTAAAAATTATTATTATAGTAGCACTATTAGGAAAAAGACATCCGTTTTGAAGTGTGATATATTGAACAAAATGCAACTGATTTTATATTATTATTGTTAAGAAACCTTGCATAAAATTGATATTCAGAAAATATATTGTAAATGTTTCAGCCACGGAACGTCCTGTGCTTCTATCATTGCTGCAGTTGCTAACAACAGTATATGTGGAGTAGGTGTAGCATACGAGGCCAAGGTTGGAGGTAGGTCGAAAAATACAAAATGTTTTTTTTTCTGTTAGGGACGATTCCATACACTATCATAATAAACTGATGTCATATTAATAAATGATTCGAGTTGGTATCATTTATTGATAATTCTTCACTCATAAGTTTATTCTTCAAAGTAACGCATAGGTATATCCACTATAATAATAATAATAACTAAACTTCTCGAGACGTCAAAATGAAACAAAAATAACTCAAAATTTAACAATTAAGTCAAGAAATATTGTTTTTCCTGACGTGTTTAACATTAAATCTTTGGTTCAAAACTTATGATTAACAATTGCTTGCAAAAAGCTTTATTTTAAAACTCCAAAGAGCGAAATATTCTTTTAGTCCTTATATTTGTAAGGGATAAAGATGGGTGTATTCAATATGAAATCATACATTAAAAATGATATATTAACCACAGATTCGGCCTTCAAACCAAAAATGTCATATTATCTGAATAGAATATTCAAATAGTCAAGCGAAATCAAATCAAACATAAACCTGGAAATATTTGCTTTAACTTACAGATATATAGATGATTTAATTGGTATAAATAATCCTGAGATAAATAATTTTATCAACATTATTTATCCGGTAGGATTTCAGATGTAGAGGGACATTATTTAGATATAAAATTAAAATAATTGATAATGATATCAATCTAAACATTTTTATTTTCTAATAGACGGCTTACCCTCTTTTGATAGTAATGTGCCATTATGTTCTGTTATAAACATTATAACTTTACAATTATTCAGATTTTGTAAAATTTGTAATAAATTTCAATATTTCTTTATTAATGTTTAAATATTGATGTAAAAAATAATATTCAATGGATTTGTTAAAGAAACTCTAAATAAACTTATTAAAATATTTTGTGATAAATATAAAAATACATTAAATAAATGTAAAGTGCTTGAGCACCGACATGTATATCACACTTCCTTGCTTGCAGACAGTTGTGATGTAGATGTGGGGGTTGATCACCGACATGTATATCACACTTCATTGCTTGCAGACAGTTGTGATGTAGATGTGGGCTTGAGCACCCATATCTATATCACACTTCATTGCTTGCAAACAGTTGTGATGTAGATGTGGGCTTGAGCACCCATATCTATATCACACTTCCTTGCTTGCAGACAGTTGTGATGTAGATGTGGGGGTTGAGCACCGACATGTATATCACACTTCATTGCTTGCAGACAGTTGTGATGTAGATGTGGGCTTGATCACCGACATGTATATCACACTTCATTGCTTGCAGACAGTTGTGATGTAGATGTGGGGGTTGATCACCGACATGTATATCACACTTCATCGCTTGCAGACGGTTATGATGTAGATGTGGGCTTGATCACCGACATGTATATCACACTTCATTGCTTGCAGACAGTTATGATGTAGATGTGGGGGTTGAGCACCCACATCTCGCTCTCCTAACTTGTATTTCTTTTAAAGCCTGATAGACGGTGTATCCCTCCGCAATGTGGGTTCTACTTCCGCAGTCACCTCCAAAACCCAGGGCACATATTACATCCCACATTATAGCTTGTACCCTGGAGATCCTTTTAATTTATGTAGCGTCTTTAATTTGATTTAATTTTTATTTGTTTAGGCTTGTTTGTGTTCATATATATATAATATACTTACTATATCGACGGTTTTTATTTAAACTGTTTAAAGCTGAAGTACATTAATTGTTCTGGTGGTTTCTTAAATTGTCGCTCAAAGCTATTCAATGGCTATCTATGCTTTATTTAATTTTGAAGTGATAGATTAGAGGAAAGTCAATGCCACCCTCCGCCAACTCATGGGCTACTCTTTACCAACAAATATTCAGATTAAATGTTTTGGAGCCTGTTGGAAATACAATCTAACTTAATATGATTAATGTGATTAAACTTAAAATAAATTAAACAACATTTTAAAATACGAATCTCATTATATCTGAATCAGAGACGAATCGCAGAGTTCTTAATTTTACGTTTCTAGGAAAATAACAACTGGCATGTAAACGCAAGGCATAATTATGGAAGTTAGTTCTGATATTGTGTTGTATCTCAGCAAGTCTACGGGTTTTCTGGTGCACGTTTACACTGTAGTAGTCTTAGTAGGCAAAGGTAAGATAAAAATATCAGTTTATTAACCTCTCGCAGTTCTCTGGGTAGTAACAGTTTTTGTAATATTAACAAATACGTCTCCTAGGCGTATATGAAGTTCTAGCGTTAAATATATTAGAGCTCTCAACTATGGTTTAGAACATAGACCTTCTTGGAAAATCTGAGCACGTATTGTTTGTAAATGTTTAATAGGGACAAAAATCTTGGATGGCCCTGTAACTGATGCTCAAGAGGCTTTAGCACTTACACATGCCTTACATATAGTTGACATATATAGCGCCTCCTGGGGACCATCAGATAATGGGCGGCACCTCGCAGGTCCTGGAGAATTGGCCGAAAAAGCTTTCATCAGAGGTGTCACACAGGTAAGTTAAATTGAAAGAATAATATTTTTCTATATTTAATCAATACAAGTGATAGACACCGCTTAGAAACAAATTGCTTGTTTCAAATTTCATGAGTTTAGATTGATGGTTGGATGAGTTAGTTCCTCCAATCATTACTGTTGTTCTAAAAGTTGTCAAGTCTAGAAATTGTTGTATTCTGCTTTAGGTCAACTCTAAGAAGCCAACTGATCTAAATGGACAAATTTAATAGTCTATTACTGTTTAATTACCAAGATAAAAATGTTTCTAGGATATTCCATCTAGTATATCTCAAAGGATTTGTAACTTTCTTCCAGATTTGTTCGAGTTGTGTTTGTAAGTTCTCCAGTAGATATATTCCATACTGGGGCACAAATCACGATGCCAAATACAGTTCAAAGTTAACAATACACACTACCAATCAGAAACAATAGCTATTTGAAATACCTGTTAAAATAAAATGTTTAAAAGGTATTAAACTGGCGTTGAAAACAAACCTATAAGCATAAGCAAAGCTACACGAGGGCTATCTGCGCTAGCCGTCCCTAATTCAGCAGTGTAATACTAGAGGGAAGGCAACTAGTCATCACCACACACCGCCAACTCTTGGGCTACTCTATTACCAACAAATAGAGGGATTGACCGTCACATTATAACGCCCCCACGGCTGAAAGGGCGAGCATGTTTGGTGGGACGGGGATTCGAACCCGCGACCCTCAGATTGCGAGATGTAAATGTAAAGAAGTGATTAAAATAACACTAAAACTAAATGTTAAACTAATACATTTATTTTAGTTGTATTATTTAATTTCAATACAAAGCACCGTAAATACTGTAGTTTTAATTTAAGTGGACAAATTAATGTAGAATATATATATACTTCTTCATTTATACTAATTAAATCGCACAAACAAAAAACACTGTTTGAAAGATATTGATAACACAACCTGTTTACATTCGAATGTCAAGCACTTTTCATTCAGCACTACAGTCTTTAAAAAGATACTGTCTATGCTTATTAATTTACTCTGTTTTAGGGACGTAAAGGAAAAGGTGCCATTTATGTTTGGGCTGTAGGGAACGGGGGAAAGAAGTTTGACAATTGTAACGCTGATGGATATGCTTCAAGCATCTTTACCATAGCAACTGGAGCGCTAACTGACGAAGGTCTTAGCGCATACTATTCAGAAACTTGTGCTTCTGTACTAGCATCAACATACGTCGGTGGATCTCATAAGCCTCCTACAAGGGAAACTTTTCAACGTGACCGAAGAAAAATCAAAGTTGTGAGTTATGGATTTAGGCTTAAATAAGTTTAATAACATTATAACAGCTACTATATCAAGCTTAGAAGAGCCTATCTAGAGAACTTAGATTTTATTCAAAAATGAATAAAAGTAGGCGTGAAACGTAAGTAATATTATCCATTATAAAACATTTATCGTGTTAACATTTTGTGAGTTAATATTATTCCCGACAGATGGCAATACAAGCAAATACGTGCTGCTTGTGCATTAGTTTGGTGGATTGTAATAGTAGCATTATATAGATCTGATATTACAGTTATAAATTAGAGTTTAGTACATTGCTTCTTCTAAAGATATTCCACTAGTTTATTAGAGTTGGTCAGAGAAGGTCCACTTACGAGTGTTTCATTTATTATATAGTTTTTATATTTCTGAAATATTCGTAACACTGCGTATTGTACAAATTGTAATAAAAGTGTCTGTTTAGTATTCGAATAAAATTTAATAGCTATTACAATTATTATAACAAATTTATACATACAAAATTATACGTAGGACAACTATCAGAACGATGGTCATGATAAAATCTCTTAAAAATGTATAAAAGAGAACAATAAACGAACCGTACAAGTTTGCTTCGGTTTGATTCCATTGTCTTTTTTTTATAAAATAATCCTAATCAAAACTTTTGATGTGGCATATGATTAGAAATGTGATATTGGTTCAATGACTAGGTGGTTAACAGTGCGCAATACAAGAACATGCTAATTTAAGACCAACGTCATCTTAGAGAATTAAGAAACAATTTAAATCTCTTACTAAGGGTTAAGAGTGACCAAGAACAGCGAATAAATGAAAGTATATTGATTGATAGCCTCAAACCGAAGTTGTCTGAACAAAACAGTGCAATTCTTTAGAGTGTTAGCGATGTTTTAATGTATAAAACAGAAACAGAACAGTAGTTTTTGTGCTCATTTTTCTCTCTCTCTCTCTAATATTTTAGTTTTTAAATATTGAATCTTTATTTACCAAAACGTATATTTGCGAGAGTTTGTTTGTTTGTTTTTGAATTTCTCGCAAAGCTACACGAGGGCTATCTGCGCTAACTGTCCCTAATTTAGTAGTGTAAGACAATAGGGAAGGCAGCTAGTCATCACCACCCACCGCCAACTCTTGGGCTACTTTTTTACCAACGATTGAATTTCGCGCAAAGCTACACGAGGGTTATCTGCGCTAACTGTCCCTAATTTAGTAGTGTAAGACAATAGGGAAGGCAGCTAGTCATCACCACCCACCGCCAACTCTTGGGCTACTTTTTTACCAACGATTGTATTTCGCGCAAAGCTA